TCGTCTCTCCCATGCACTCCGTTTAGGAACCACTTTCCCCCCATCCTTCTATGACGGATAAAGGGAGATCACCAGAGGCCTATGCCCTATGTAGTTCACACAAATGGATCTTGGGCTCCCACTGCCATCCATAGCCTTCTGCAAACTGGATTCTCACAATTCAGGCTCTGGCACTATTCCCTCCTTTGACTTCAGATTATCTGATGTACGATCAGAAGGATGCTTTTTTCCCCGTTTGTTTTAATAGATAGAAAGCGTATACTCAAGTGTTCTACGGCGATGGGGCATATGATTTGAAGTATATTCCCAAATAATTCGGGAAAAAGAAAGTTGTACTTTCCTGTAAGTTTAAGATAGTTCCAAATTTATATACATAGGTATTATCTATACACACACGTGCACATACACAAACCTACAAATATGTACAGTGAAACCTGTGAAAGTCAAATTTGAAAGATCAGCCTCCCCCCCCAGGTCTTACTAGTTTTTCAATTTTTGACAAAGTGCAATCTGACCCCTTTTCTATCGCTCCTTTTAGTGGGAAACATTTGAGTTGTCCTTCTCTGACAGGTTTCCACTTTACACGGGTTCCGGTTTTCGCAGGTTTGCAGTATGTATTTTTCAACACCTCCCCATTGCATCGACAAGTGCAGAATGCTCAAACGAACACTCTTCCAAGGTCTTACCCAACCTAAGCCTCAGTTCCAAAACCAAAAGCTCACTGCCACCAACTCAATGCCAACTCAAGGGATCCGATAGGACAGGGGAGAACTGCCCAGGTAGGTTTCCAAGAGGATCTCGTTAGAGGAGCAGAAAACCTCATCTTTCCTGTGGGGTGGCTGGTGGTTTCGAACTACTGACCAACATGTAACCACTACACCCCGGGGGCTCCTCAGTTACTTCCCTGTTTTATTGGGCAACTCCCTCACCTGGGCCCTCACCACACTGAGCCCTCAAACAGGCCCCCTTTCCCTTTGTGCCCCTCAATATGTCACATCCTCTCTTCCCTCTCAACTGTGATCTCTACATGATAAAATGCACCTTTCTTCAAGCTCCATCCACCTGTCCCCCACGTTCTTAAGGACTTTCTGATTGCCCCAAGATGTTACTTCTACCTCCTTTCTCTCTTTCACATAGCTGTGTCATTTTCCAAGACCAGAGGGTACAGAATTTGAGGACAAGGATCATATAAAAAAATCCCATTTTTCCTTGTTTGTCTTGTTTTTCTTTGCCTGCCTTAGGTTTCTTTGTACAAATAGCACAAGAGGACCCCAGCTCCCTCCATGCAGATGGCAGCTCACACCAGTCCCTCATGCCCTCAGATGGAGACCTCTACTTTGTGGGAGTCTGGGCCCCTTTGGAAGCTGGAGCTGGAGTCGAGGCCTTGGCTGGAGCACCAGCCTTGTTTTGTGTTTTGTCCTTGGCCTTGGGCCAGTAGAGCCTCAAACCCTTGGCAATCCGTGCCTGAGCCCACTTGCCTAGTGTGGAGTGGGCGAGGTAGGCCAGTTGGCTGAGCTTGAGGTTGACACCCATTGGTGTCTTAACTTCGACCTCCTTGGGCTTCACGAGAGCCTTGATAAACTTGGCACAAGCATCCCTGGCCTTGTCATTGTTGGCCTGCATTTTCTTCAGGCCCTTCTTGTTCAGTTTCTTGATGAAGTGCACGTTCCTCTGGAACGTGGAGTCCACCCCCTTGAGAGACGAATATCATCATGAGTTTCTTGATGCCATTCCTGTGCAGTTTCCAGGACTGGTGTGTGTGTGTGGGGGGGGTCTGGGAGTTGGCAGCTCCAGAAACCAGAAGAGCCATTTTTCCTTTTTTAGGTCTGCTCCTACATTGCATTTCCAGAAGGCAACAACTGGTCCATTGTTTAGCTACTTTTCTTTTATTTTATGCTGATAATGCCAAGAATCTTGGGAGTTTTTGATGAAGCCCTCGATATACCGGACTTCTATAAATGGCCCACTATGTAATACGCTCAGGACGTCTTGAAGCCTGTTTATAATCTGGATCATTCTCTCTTTGCATGAGTAGGATGTAGCGTAATGGTCTTCCTTCCATCACTCATGTGACAGGCAGAACAATGGCCCCTCAAACATACTGAAAAACCTGAGGACGGCTCAGGCGCCAGCAAGGTTTCGTTCTGTTACACACAAGGTCTCCGTTGAGTCAGAGGCAACTCCAAAACAACAAAAAGGCAAAGCAAATGAAAACCTCCCTGCCACAGAGTCGATGCTAAGTCAGAGTGACCTCTTGTGTGTTTCCAAGACTATAACTGTTGGTGGGAGTCAACAGCTTTTCTCCTGCGGAGCTGCTGGTAGTTTCGAACTGCGGACCAATCACAGTGCCACCCCAGGAGTAACCAGGACACCACCAGGGCTCCTCCAACTCAAGGGCAACTAACAAGAGAAACAAAGGTGCCCTACCCCAATTCCCAGAATTCCTCAATCAGTAAGACATTAAAGGGAAATCAAGATGCTAATCAACTGGTTTTAGAATATGGATTACTTTTAAATCCTAGATTGTCTAGGTGAGTTCAATGCATTCACAAAAGTTACTTTAAAAGGATAGGGGAAGCCGAAGAGAGATGGCTGGGCGAGATATAACCACAGAATCATCTGAGAGATCCAACGTTGCTGGCTTCCGAAATGAAAGGGGCCACCCAGCCTGGTAACCCGGTGCGTTCAAGGCTAGAAAAAAGGCAAGAAAACAGACTCCTCCATCAATCTCCAAAAACAAACAGCTTTGCCTACACCTTAAGCTTAACCCAGTGAGATGCATATCAAGCTTCTAGCCTACAGAATGGTAAGGCCACAACTTTGTGGTGTTCTATGATGCTAAATTTGTAAATTTGCAAACCATACATCTATTATGGCAGCTACCTATTTCCCTAATAGGATCAGATAACTGCTATGCCAGACTTGATCGTCAAGTCGTCCCATATGCATACCTGCCAGCAAAAAAATAATGAAGAGTGAAATAAGGTTAAGAATGGAAGTAGATGGTTACCTTTGATAAGGAGATACATACAAAGGTAGGTTGAAAGGTATTGGTACAAATTCATAGAAATCCTTATTAAAACTATCAAAAATGTGATGCTACTGTTTCTTAGCATAGCCTCCATCTCAGTCTGAACATGTCTGAGTGTTTCTATCTCTAACCCTTCTCTGGAAAATTCTGTGCTCTTCAATTTATAACATGTCAACATGGCAATTGGGGCATCTTCAAGGGACTCAAAATTGTGTTGCTTTGAAACAAAAAAAAAAAAAGCTGAAGAGGCAAGATCAGGGCTATCGGGTGAATAGGGTAAAGTTTCACAATGAAAGGTTTGTAGGGCAGCCTTTGCCAACCTTGAAAAATGAGCAGGTGCATTATCATGAAGGGAAAAAAAATCCCTTGGTGCAAATTTCTTGGCCTTTTTCTCATCAAACAGTTTTCCATTTTCTTAAAACTCCTTCATAATAAGCCCTTGTGGATTTTCTGTGTCCTTCAAGAAAAATCTATAAAGACTCCCTTTGGACTTCCAAATAAACAGTTTCTATAACCTTCTGAGCCGCACTCTGGTTGTTGTTGGACAGCTAACCATAAGGTCAGCAGTTTGAAACCACCAGCCACTTTGTGGGAAAACAATAAGGTCATTCTACTCCAATAAAGTATTACAGTCTCTGAAACCCACAAGAGCAATTCTACCCTGTCCTACAAGGTCACCACTATGAGTCGGAATTGACTGGATGGCAGTGCATTTGTTTGTTTGTTGTTTGGGTTGGGTTTGGTTTAAACTTCTGAGCTAACTTCTCTGCCTTGAATTTGTGGCCCAGGGGATCCCCTCAGAAGCCACTGCTATGACTGGACCTTATTCTGTTTCATATTGGCAAATCCAAGCCTTGTCCCAGTTACCATTTGTTCCATTTGTGTCAACCTTGCTTACTGATGGAAAAAGATCAGCCTTCGAGTTCTCTGATCTGCCCACGAGCTCTGGGCTCCAGTCATTAGTAGCATCCATTGTCAAGCTTCCTCGGGCACAGGTGGAAGGCACAGTTCCTTCCGAGCTGGAAATGCCCGTGAGCCTCAACCTCGGTCGCTCCAGCATCAACAGTCCTGCCACCGCCTGCTTCCCCCTGCTTCTGGACCGCAGCCACAGTTCAGTCATTTAGCGAGATGGACAGTCTTCCCTCGCGTGGCTCATCTCTGAGATCTTCCCAACCTCCCTTAAGACACTGTAGCCATCCATGTGGGACAACGCTCCCTACACGTGTTCCCCTAACCTGTGGCAACGCCTCAAGGAGCTGCAAAGATGTCCACCTGAGTTTCGTAAAAAGAAAAATGGCTATGAGCCCTGACCTCAAAATCGTTATGCCATAGCACAAACATTCTCTCCATCCGCCCGCCAACGGCGCCCTAAAAGAACCAAGACTGGCAGAAACTCTTTATACACGTTTTGTTTCGAAGAAAACCATACATCTGTGAACTAGAACCCTATTGCAGTCTTTTGATTTGGTAAAAGGATTGACGCTCCACTGTATCTAATGGGGAGCACAGGATCCCCTTTGGAAGGCTCTTTCCAGAAAAACCGCCACATATTGGGGGGTGGGGGGGAGCACAAATGCAGAGCTTGGTGCTTGCCAAGGAGGAGGGAAGTCTTCTAAGGAATCATTTTCCTAAGAGAGGCCGAGGAACACAAATCATGGTTCACTTTCGATTTCCGGGCTGCCGCGAAGCGAGCCACAGGGCCGGACCCGAGGCAGGGCACCACCGCACCAGGCAGCCTGTGCCCAGGTGGGGCCATGCGACCCCCGGGCCGACCTGTGCCCACTACGCCAGGGCCATCGCGCGACAGAGAAGGGGGGGCGGGGGGCGCGAGGGTCGCAGACGCGCTGCCCGGCGCGGTCGCCCACCCACCCGGCTCTCGGAAGGCCCGTCCCGCCCGTCTGGCCGGGGCTACCGGGGTCCGGGAGGGCGGCCGAGACGGAGGAAGAAGAGGACGGGACGCCCCACTCACCCGCGCCTGCCCGCCGAAGGCACCGACCCCGCGCCCGGCCGCGCCCGGCACCCAGCGCCCTGCCCTTCCAGGAAACCACGTGCGCGGGGAGGGGCGAGTCCGCCGGCGCCCGGGCCGGCCCCCCAGCCCCGTGGCTGCACCCTGACAAGGGCCCACGGCGCTGCTGCCCGGTGCAGACGCGTCCCTGGCCGTCTGCGGGCCCAGTCCTGACCAGGTGTCACTCAGATGAGCAGGTTGCTTATTTAAATAAAATTTTAAAAAGGCATGGGAGTGTATTGTTAGCAAAATAAAGAGAAGCCAAATGTCACTGGAAAGTACATACGCATAAATCCGTCTTCAAGAGTGCCTTGCGGATTGATTGTCGCATTGTAATGTGTTGGTCTCCATCAAGGGAAACGCAGGAGAAAGACCGCGCTTGCTCCTGCTGTCAGGAGGGAGAGGCCGTGCAAGATTCCCCTGGATATGCCTGAACGATTGAGCTACTGAATTGCATGATCTATACATTGTGTGCCAATAAAACTGCTATTAAAATAAATACAAAAGACTTAAAGGCCCAGAAACCCAGAGGGGCAGTTCTACCCTGTCTTTATAGGGTCTCTATGAGTCCGAATGTTGGGCTTACACACTTAAAGGACAAGTTTTTCAGTCAGCACAGTATAATCATTTCTGTGTACCTTTTGCAATATTACCTGGGCTGTGGGGTTGGGAAGCTGCAGTGTCCTCTTGCTATCTATGACCCATGTCCCTTGAAAGTTCGCTGATAATCTTTTGTTTTGTGGTAACACATAAATTAATACTTCACAAGGCATCAACATTTCCTTTGAAAATAAGTCACCAGTCAAAGTTCAAAATGTGCTGTGTTTCTTAATCCTATACCAAGAACCACCCACAGCTGCACTTACTCATAAATATAGATGGGAGGTATATCGAAATGCTATAAAAGTATAATTTATAGTTTATTGTGCTACAAAATAGCATATGAAAACTGACGTAATCCCACTGCTATTAAGTTGATTGTGGCTCACAGCTACCCTGCACAGAGTTTCTGAAACTGTAAATCTTGACGAGAGTGGCTGGCCTCGTCTTCCTCCCTCAGAACAATTCGTAGTTTTGAACTGCTGATCTTGCTGTTAGTTGCCCACTATACCACCAAGGGGTTTTTTTTTTTTTTTTGAGATTTTAAAAAAAAATCATTTTATTAGGGGCTCATACAACTCTTATCACAATCCATACATACATCAATTGTGTAAAGCGCATTTGTACATTCATTGCCCCCATCATTCTCAAAACTTGTTTTTTCTTGGAAACATTTTAATATCTTTTTTTTAAATTATTTTATTGAGGGCTTGTACAATTCCCATCACAGTCCATACATCCATCCATTGTGTCAAGCACATATGTACATTCGTTGCCCTCATCAATCTCAAAACACCTGCCCTCCACCTTAGCCCTTAATATCATTTGCTCATTTTCCCCCTCCCTCACCACCAAGGTTTTTTAAACTGCCAATCTACCAGACGAACTAAACCCATTGCCATTCAGTGGACTGTGACTCATCGTGACAATCTAGGGTTTCCAAGGCCGTAAATCTTTATAAGAGCAGATAGATAGCCTCACCTTTCTTCTGAGGAGCAGCTGTGGTCTTGAACCTAAACCTTGCAGTTAGCTGTCCAATGCTTACCCAACACCACCACCAGGCCTCCTTAATAACCAATATGCTGTTTCTAAGTGATAGATTAAGAGGGGTGAAAAAAATAAAAGAGGTGAAATTTCTTTATATGAGGAAGTTGATGAAGCCAGTTTCCAAATGTCCTTTTCTCCAAGTGAGCTGTCTAAGGGGAAAGTAAAAGTGAGGAGGGAAAGGCCGGCCCACTGTGGTGAGCGATACGGACTTCTTGGCGCTCATCGGCCCAGTTGGAAAGTATAAACACTTGAGTAGCCATACCAGGAGGGTAGGGGGAAGGTGAAGGGAGGAGGGGGAGAAAGGGGAAACTGATCACAATCATCAATGTACAAACACCCTCCCAAGGGGGGAAAACAACAGACACATGGATCAAGGGAGACAGCGGACAGTGTAAAATATGAAAATAAAATAATTTGTAAATTATCAAAGGTTCACAAGGGTGGGAGGGGGGAGGGGCAAAAAGAGGAGCTGATACCAGGGGCTCAAGTAGAAAATGTTTTGGAAATGATGATCACAACATATATACAAATGTGCTTGATACAATTGATGTATGGATTGTTATAAGAGCTGTATGAGCCCCCAATGAAATGCTGTATTACATACATAAATAAATAAGAAAGTATAAACACTCTATTGCAACTTGGGAAATAACTATTTCTGTTTTATATCGAAATGTTTGAAGGAGCATGAAATCTAGAGGTGATTTAGTTCAATATCATGTCTTCTTTTATTTTATTATTATATTTACACAAAGATATAAGGAATGGGACCTTGAGCAGAACAGGACTGATCTACTATTGACTCAGATCTTTCAGGTGGCATAGTGGGAAGCTACACACAAGGTCAGCAGTTCAAAACCACCGTTCCCCATTTCTGCATGTATAATGATGGAGAAGGCTGGGAGGAGTTTACCATCCAGTGGGTGAGATAAACATACAAATATATATATATACACATATATAATCTTTTATCTTAGCTGTGTAGATTTACATGAACTGTCCAAGGCAGAGATTTGTAAAGCTTTACACAAAGGCAGTTCTACTCTGTCCTATAGGGTCACTATGAGTAGGGATGGACCCTGTGGCAGTGGGGTTTGGTATTTCAATTAGTGGGGAAACCTTTTCAAGACACCTACATTTTAAAATAAATCCATATGCTAATAGCCAGAATTCAACTTAGCTTCAAATCACGACCAGTGCAAAGTGCTAGAAGCGATTTAAAGATGAATATTAAGCTCCTTAATATTCATTAAGATGAATATTAATATTATTAATGACAACAATTGATAACATCTAATGAGAACTTCTGGGTATTTTATTTATATATATGTATATATAGTGCCAAGAATCATACAAGATATAAGCATTATTCCCATTTTGCAGGTGAAGAATCCAAGAAGCTTATAAGATGTAGTGAGATTGTTCTCATGGGCTGCCCTCCGCCATCAGCTCTCTCCAAATCAGGTCCTTTGGCACACGGATGAAGGAATTCTGTGTTCAAACTAGATTGTGAAATGTCGAATACTGGATGCGCCTTTGGAGACTCACAAAGCACATTAGCATATAAAGAATTCTGATCTTCAGGAGGTTCTAAGTGGGCCATTTGAGCAATAGTCTGGCAGCATAGTGGGCAGTTGAGTAGTTCAAACTCCCTAGTCACTCCATAGGAGAAAGATGAGACCATTTGCTCCCCTAAAGATTTACAGTCACAGAAACCCTATGGAACAGTTCTGCTGGCCCATAGGGTCACTTGATGGCAGTGGATGAGTTCTTAAATTATACTGTATTCTTGGCACAAAAGCAGTCCCACACTGGGCTATGAACACAAGCGGTGGTCCAAGAAAACCATGGCATTGACGAATCCTCACCATTGAAGCTCTGTGCCTTTCGCGCGCCACCACGAGTCAGCACCGACTCCACAGCCACTGGCTTAATTGTGTGCATTAATGTAAAACTTACTATCTTAACAAGGAGTCCAAGAAACAAGAAAATTTCCCAAAATTGATTGTGATCATGATTGTATAACTCTTCTTGATACGATTAAACTATTGTAATATATGACATGTGAACATGTCTCAATAAAACTATTAAAAAGGTTATTGTTTATTGTTTTTAAAGTTGTTATTTATTGTTTTAAAAGTTATTAGTTATTGTTTATTGTGCACTCAAACTTGAGATGCAACATTCCGTGCCTTGGACATTTCATGTATATCTACACAGCAATGATAGGAGATATATATATTTTTATATCTCTCCTCTACATCGTAATTAATGCCTCCCAGACTACTCCATACACACACATATGTTTTCTTTAAAACTCACTGTCACCAACCTACCCCTGCCTCCAGAAGAATTTATTTCAGAGGACAGCACTGAAGCTGCAGCTCTGGGAGAGGGACATGTCTGATCAGAGCACACGGGAGCAAATGAAGGGGGAGGAAGAGAGAGTGGAGCACATCCTAGCCCACCAAGCCTTGAGGACAATATTCCTGCTCAGAGCAGCCGATCCACAGAGAACACCATATGGCCGGCCCCACTGTGAGACATGACATCCCTCACTGACTCATAGCCCTACAGGGAACAACATTGGAGATACAGTGTGGGAATTGGGCCCGATCTGATCTTACCACACTGAGGCAAAACACTAAGGGCATGCAACAGAACAGCAAGGGGAACAGAGCAACGAAGTCCCCCAAGAATACCAAAAATAGACTTTGGGGCCAGGGCTTGGCACCCCATCTGACTAGACTGGAAAACACTCCTAAACGCCAACAAACAGTCCTTGAACTAACTACAGGCTTTTCTTTGTTGCTCTTGTTGTTGTTTTCTTTTCTTTTGTTTCTTTGTTTTGCTCTGTCTTGTTTTTGTGCATGGATAGGCTGGATGAACTATCTGCAGGAGAAAACAACAGGTCCAATGGTTCCGGGGGACATGGGAGAGGAGGAGGGGAGGTGGGTGGGGGAAAGGAAGTGGTGCTAACAAACCCAGGGACAAGGGAACAACAAGTGATCCAAATCAGTGGTGAGAAGGGTGTAGGAGGCCTGGTAGGGCGTGATCAAGGGTAATGTAACTGAGAGGAATTACTGCAACCCAAACTTGGACACAGTCCGGAGAGCCAGGCAATTTGGAAGCATTTCCGCGGCAAGGGAATTGTGTTGGAAAAAGTAGGAGCTGAAGTCAAACAGCCATTGGAAAGTGTTTACGAGTCCAGCTGATCAAGAACAGCAAGAAAATCACTGCCTCGGTGCCCAACCACGGTTGTTTGAATTTTATGGCGGAGAACGATGAAGTTCTGGTGGCTGGATTTGGCCCAAAGGTCATGCCATTGGGGATGCTCTTGGAGTCTGTCTGCCTTAC